AAAATTTGGATGAAGCTAACCTGGTGGAGGTTGAAGTAAAGGCCGAGCCTTAGAGTGCTCGTTAGAATAGTACTGTGCGTGTTAGTATAGTATGAACGTTCGTCCAATTATTTTGTAAGGCCGTTCGTCTTATCCATCTCTGATTGTATTTTGACGTACGTTAGTGAATTTATCTAAGAACGTTTACTCTTGGTTTCATTCGTATGCGTTATACGCGTTCCCTATACTGATGCCGTTCGTCTTTTGATTCTGGATTAATGCAAAGACTGTTTATGATTATTGTTAATTGTAATTAATTCTGATTTATGGTGATTACTGTATTTTGGGATGTTACAGATAATATCGTCTTATATTAAACATTAAATTTTTTACATTAACACTATATCAAAATAAAATAGCAACGAAATCATTCAGTAATAAATATTAAATAATATATAATATAATTAAAAATATAAAAAATTTAAATAAAAAAGAAAATAATTTGAAATTTAATTGAACCTGAATTTAATCTTGAATGAAGTAAAATATTATGTTTTTTCTTAAAAGAAACTCTGACAGAAGAAATTGTAGTGTTAGATTTGGGGAAACTTGAAGCTTCGACCTATAATTGTAGTGTTAGATTTGAAGTGAAGATCATCAGTGATGAGTCTCATGAATCCGAGAACAGAGAAACTGGTGAGAAGGCTAACGATTGTGACCACTGTTACTGCTTCCTATTTTCTCCTAACAGCTGATTACGGTCCTCAACCCAATGCTCTCGACCCTGTAAGTCTCTTCCTTTTATCTCAAGCTATTTTTTTTTTTAATGATTTCTTCGATGTCCAACATGATTTTTCCATTATATTTTTAAATTCCTTGGTGGGTTTTCTCCTTATCGATTTATCATTTTTAATTTGCTTATGTTTTTAGTATCTGTTGCAATGTTCAATTACCGTCCTTCATTGTTTGGAGTTGGTTTATAGGTTCAAATTAGATTAGTTTATGCAAACTAATATGGTAGATCTAATCTGCTGATGAAAAAACATATTAATTTTTCCTTCTTAGAAAGTTACGACTTTTGTTGTTGTGAATTCGAAGGTATAATAAAACCTTGTGTAGGAAGGGGATGATAGGCTAAACTGCAAGCAAAGTAGCTTGGGTTGGATTTAACAGAGGGAAGTGGGAACAAACAGCCCTCAGAAAGACTTTGTGGCCACTTTAGTTGTAATTCTTAGGCAATTTTGAATCCATTGGTAGCATTTGTAAGACATGTTGAATCTATATGGAACATAACATAAGTTTCCTTCTATGATGCTTTTCAAAATAGAACTGCTTGAGGAGTTAAAAGTTGTACATTTGGGTTTCACTGAAAAGGGTGGAACTAATGAGTGCAGAACATCATTGTTTTACTGTGTTCAGTTCTATTTGATCTTTTCCTCTAAAGCTATTTACTATGACAAGAACAGTTTAAAGAAACACAAATCCAATACAGCCTTGTGTCCTCCAGAAATTGTGTCAGGAAATAAGAATATGGCACAGTACTTGGTCTGCTATTGCATTGGCTTTACTGTAACAGCGCCAAAGGTATAAAATTGAAAGCTTTTGAAAAGCTTATGAGCTATTTTTGTTTTGAGAAAATGCTTTTCCGTTTTTCACTTTTAATTACAAAAGCACCGCGTTATTTTCATTTGTTTTCTATTTTCAAATATTTTTCCTTTTGTTCGAGAAAAAAGTTGTTTTCACTGTTTCGTATTCAAGCTTTTGAAAATGGGAAATAGAGTGGAAATAACGTGACATTTTTATAATAAAAAGTGAAAAACAAAAATTTGAAACAAAAACATTTTCTCAAATTAAACAATCCATAGCATTCTTATAGGAAAACACAGACTTAGCTGATAGGATGCTATAAGAAGTATGCAAATTGTATACTTAGATGATAACAGCTGGGGCATTAATTAGTATATTTATTTCTTAGGTCTCAGATCAAGTTGATTAGGTAAGTGAATGACTATGGTGGGAGAAGTAGAGAACAATATCCTAATATGTTTATTTACCTTTATAGTCCTGTTCACAGTGGTTTCGTGCCTTGGTACCAACTCTATTTTTTTATGTTAAATTTGATGAGACAAAAGATTTATAAGATTTTTCTCATTTGTGACGAGTAAATTTACATTAGTTTGCCTCTTGTAAAATTGCAATTAGATGTAGACAAATGACAAAAAGGGGCGTTCCTGAACTTGCATTCCTGTATGGCATAATCATGAGCCGTAAGATAATGTCCTAAGTAGGAGTTTCTTTGATGGATTAGAAGCTATAGCCTTGCAGTTAAATATATAGGTGCCCTTCAAAACTAGAGAGGTTCTACATACTACGTAGAGTATCTTCACCAGTAGTAGTAATCAGGATGTCGATACCGTCTAAAGTATCATTGAATAATCTCTAACCTTGATGGACAGCTTTGAGGTTACAAACTTTGTAGCTCCTGCCTCACTTTCAGGTCTGTCTGAATGATTGGCCTAATGGACACAAGCAGAGACCAATTTAACTTTGTTTTTGGCACTGCTACCATCTAAAGTTTTCCTTAACTACCACAGTTAGTTGCGTTATACGACAGTCCTTTTCTGGGGGCTTCTACTCCAATTTAATATCTACTGACCGTCTGATAGATGTTCTATTCTCATTGTAAAGCAGACAATACAGATTGGTTCATTGGGATATTTGGGAATTCATTTATACTTGATATTGGTTCTTTGTTTTCTTTCTATATTTTGGTTCAGATGATTTAATTTTCTTGATGGAAGATGTTGTATTTGATTTCTACAGGAAGCTCCTTTTCTATTGTTTCTGATGCTATATTTTCTTAATGGCAGATCAAGAAGCAAATACTTTCAGCACAGAGCACGGTGAAAGGGTATATTTTGGGATCAAAGATAGAATCTCAAGAAAACCAGCTGGGCAAATTGGACAGCAACAAGGATCAACCATAAATTTTTGGGTAGTCTTGTATAGGAACATCATGCTGAGTCAGTTTTCTTTTAGCGGTTTGAACTGTAGTGTAATAGAATGACATGAGGATGAATAAACGGTGGATTCACTTGTCAGCACTATCAATGACATGAATATGACCATTACTCCATAATAATGTTTCGGCTGCTACTCTCTCCCCCACAACCTTTTGTCTTATTATGGATCTGCATCTGAAGTGTTTCTTTGTTTTCTTTTATCTGAAATTGAGAAACCAAAATTGTAATCGAGAAGGGTGTTTTGCACATCAAATTAGTTGAATTAGTCAAATTCGAGCATCTAAAAGCCGTGTTAATATCTATTGACTGGTCTAATGATTATTCATCGATTGAGTGTGCAACTACAGGGTATGCAAACTTTGAGCGATAACAACATTTTAATTAGGTTATGCGACTGTTGCATAGGTTACATGGACATAAAATAGAACACTTGTTTGTGGTAATTAAAAGTCCAAACGTCATTCTATTCCAAATCAATAAAATTCTTAAAATCATAATATTTTATCTTATAGATAACCTACCAGTAAAAGATCAACAGCAAGAACCTGAACAAACTCTTCTGAAATTGATTATAATTTGTTTAAAAGTAACTTACCTTCAAAATTGAAAGCTACAATGAAAGCTCAATGTATATACATTGAGAAAGAAGAGATAGCTAAGGCATAGAAGAAAGTGATGAGGGATTGATTAACAGATATGGATATAAAGTGGATGCAGAAATTGAGACATGAAAAATTCAAGATTAATAGTAGTATCATGGTCCATAATATTTTGGGTTGATGATACAAGCAGTAGGAAATAAATAGTTATCAGGCAAAACAGAATCAGCACGAAATTGTCTCTGTACAACATTTTTTATTTTTGGTTGGTAGTTGCACACCGCTTGGATTCCGGAGTTGTCCATATTTAAGTGCTACTTGGGCTTCCACCAGTTTTGTGAAAGTAATTGTGACAGTGCTTTTCTTTCCATCATTTATATTTTAGAGTATTGATTTATGTAAAAGTTTGGAAGTAATTATGTTATGGGTGTCAATGTGTACATACAAAATATTTTGTTTATTTTGGTGGACCGTTGGAATGCACCTTGAATTAGCTTCAGAATTTGCACTTTAACAGTTTAGTTTCAACCACTCATTATCGAATCTTGGAAATTTACACTGTTTATGAATCAGGACAGTGTCTTTTCTGCCAAAGTTGTGTATTTGATTTGTAGACTTTGAAGGGCTGTCTTCTCTTTTGTTGTTGCTCGTTGGCATCCCATTATTATTTGGTTGGAAAAGCAGTTGTGTAAGAATCTTTAAAAGACATGTAAACTCAGCAGGTTCACTTCAGACTAATAATAGGAGAATTTTTTCACTTTTAAAGCTTCTGCAATATTTTCATGGGCTTCCCTTGGTTCCCTTTTCGTGTAGGCCTCTGCAATACAAATCATTTCCTCAATCAAACAGTATTTAGAAGGCACCAAGTGAAGCTCTTGCAGCCATCACTAGCATCGATAATCTCAGATAAAATAATCACATTCCTACGATTGCATACGTGCGTGAAAAGAAACATTGGAGCCTCCTCTAAACCGAATTTACCCATGCCCAATTTTTCACCAACACAGCTCAATCATAAATTCACAATAGAACAACTTGATCGTTTTGAATACAACTTAAATCATAAACTCATAACAGAATGAAACAGTGAGGAAACTTTATCATTGCACTAAGATCCAAAAATAAAATTAATCCCTGCAGAAATAGTCATTTTACAGAACCACAACAAACAAATTTTACTCCATTCTCCCAAAAGATAAGTATCGATCCAGATTTCTATATCTTCATTCATTATAACAATTTATCAAAGTTAATTTGAATCACATAAAGTGTTATTTTAGTCTCAGAGAAACAATGCACAACAAAGCTCAAACCAAATAATCTACTTTCTTATGTTAAAATCTGCCACGTCCACATTATTTCAAAGTGCTTATATTGCACATGAAACACGCAGACCAACTTCAAGGTAACATAAGACTGGCAAAATCTCTTTTAAATTTCAAGTCAATGTATTTGCATACATGCAAAAACTGGGAAGCTAAACAAAATGTTAGCCTAGAAATAAATGAAAACAAAAATCATTGGTTACAATACCCTCGAGTTTCCGCCAGAAAAATACATTAAATGCTTTTTTAAGTTAGCCTACAGCAAACAATGCCTTGGAAAAACCATGACACTGAAATATTGCTAAATGGAAGTTGTAGCACCTATGGCTCCATTTACTCAGATTTAAAATATCCCTCAATTACAATACTCTGATCAGAGGTTTTTGACTTCAAATTTAGCACTTTCATTCCTTGCTCTAAGCTCTTCAATGTCTGTAGAGGATCTGGCTCAGTACGTTTGTTCCAAACAGGCAAAATTTCTGTGATAAATTTATTAATATAGTTCTTCTCCATAGCCTCCATAACAAGCACTTCAAACTCACTGAAATTCCCTCTAATATCTAATAGAACACTGCATAATCCTTGACGATTACAATAATCCAAGATCACATCCAGATTTATTTGATCCAGAGCTACAGTTTCAATTCCTTGTTGAGCCACTTCTGGAGCTGTTCCCGCTTTATTTTCAGTAAAGATTATGATTTTGCTTGTGATGTCATTGATGGATGATAGAATTTGATTTAAAGAACTAGGATCTTTATGTATTACAATCCGAATTGGTTGGTTGGCTCCAGGTTCTTGAGATGCAGGTACTTTAAAGTTTTCAGTGAAAAAGGAAGAAGACATTACCACTGCATCATATTCCTGTAATAGCCTTGAATAGTAACCACCACAGTCTGCAGCTCCATTCCCAAGCAAGTTCAAAAAGTTTCCATTGACAGAAAGAGAATATCTGCAATGCAAGTACAGGCAAGGCTCTGAAGTGATGTTTATGAAAGAATTAAAACACATGCGGATCAACTAAACTCCAAAATGCATCCAAAGAACAGTCATACACGAATTGTTAGGAAAAGCATGTGAAAGTGTCAAAAGACAAAGGGAGAGTTGAATTACCTCAAAGTAAGGAAAGGCTTTCCCGTCAACATGCGATGAACGTAAGGCTCATTGAGGCTCTTGCACAACTCTTCCTCTACACCCACAACAACTTCAATTCCTGCATCTCTCAATCTTTCCACCCCTTTGAAGGCAACTATGGGATTTGGATCCACCATCCCAACAACAACCTTTTTCACTTTGGCTTTAATTAGAGCTTCAGTACAAGGTGGAGTCCTACCAAAATGATTACAAGGTTCCAAGCTCACATAGGCAGTCGCATTTTGTGCCAAATCACCAGCATCTCTCAGAGCAAACACCTGACAATCTCATCTCCCCAACTCAACATACTCACAAACACAAGGTCTTTATCTAAAGTCTAAGAAACAGTAACATCTCACAATCAAAACTTGTTCACCAGAATATCTCCTGTTTTTTATTCTTACAAAAACTACCATTTGTATTCAACTAAGGTTCAAGGTTTCAAACAGTTGTTCAAGACAGCAATTTCGCCCACAACATTAAGGTTTTTGGGATCTCAGCAACCGTTGTGGCAACATCAGCCCCAATGTCCATAGTTTCCAGTAAACATCAAAGGACCAACGTTTTGAAAAACAGTCGGTCACCGACTACCATAATTTTGGCCGCAACCTCAAGGTTTATGTCCTCAACTGCAATGCTATCTCAATACAATACCCTTTGTTCGAAATTTCTCACAATATGAATAAACACAACAAAACCATGATCAAATGTACAATTTAAAACCTTGTTTGGGCTAATTCGTTATCACCAGTTTGAAATACCAAATCAATGAAACCAATAAGGAATAAGACCACAAAAGAGCACAGTCTAACGTGTCTTTAATGAACATACATTTTTTTTTTTTTTCATTTTATCTTACATAGAATAATTTAGATAGACAAAAAGTGGAAGAGAGGGAAGGTAGGTACCTCAGCATGTGGTCGCCCTGCTTTAGGGTGGAACCCTTCTCCAACAACTATCCCATTCTTTACAATAACACACCCCACCAATGGATTGGGGCTGGTATACCCAATAGCGTTCCTTGCAAGCTCCACACATCTTCTCATGTAAAACCCATCACCACTTTCTCCTTCGGAGGATGCACACTGCACCCCAAACCCATCCCACCTACTCCTAATGGGTTTGTAACTCCCACAACCAAAAGGCAAACACAACCTAGTTCCAGCCTTGGAGGGGCTTAGGGTGGACACAAAAGATGCAAACTTTGGAGGAGTTGCAGTAATCGAGAACCTGGGCACCTGAAGACTGCAATCTGAACACAGTGCTTGCATAGTGTTTGTTGATATAACCAAAAGAGAACAGCAATTGTTTTATTCTTTGCTCTCCCCGTGTAACCTTTGTCCAAACAAGATTGTCCAGAAAACAATTAAATATTTTTTTGTTTAATTAATTTCTAATTCGGTATGCATATGATTTGGTTCATTCAAAATTAGAAAAATAATTTATTTTCTCACATTAAAAAATTATAGTTTCAATTCTATAAATACTAGATTTGAGAAAGTAATAACAAGTTGAAAAACTTATTTCGATTTCTTAACTGTATTTAAAGACTAAAATATTTTTTTTCTTCTAACATTTAATCTTTTTAATATTTAGAAGACTAAAATCAAACTTATATTAAATTTCAGGATAACATGATTAAATCATATTTTAAAAAGGTATTCTTTCTATCCATATAACATTAAATGTTCCTAGATTAGCATAAGTTTATGGTGATCTTTGTTAAGAATACTTACCATCACAACATTTTTATTGCTCGTCCTCTTTTTATCCTTGTGCTTTACAGTAGAGTAAATTTGAAGAAGTTTAAAAGAACGAAGATGAAGAAAAAAGTTAATGTAAATTGAATTTGTTTAAATTAAAAAAAAAGGGAGTGGATTTAAGTAGAAAGTGAAATCAAAGTTTATAGTAATTATGATTGATGTTAGTAAAGAAAGGTGATAAAAATATGAAAGTTATATTTTACAATAAAAGTATATCAAAATAAATGATCAAAATTTAAATAAATTAAAGTTATTTTATTATTATTTTAATTTAAAGCTTGTATTGGTAAAATATTATTTTTATTTTATTAATTATTTTAATTATTCATTTTATTATAATATTATTCACTTTTATTATAACATTATTCTTCACTATTTTAAAGTTATTATTTATTATCTATATTTATCTTTTTACTCTTCGTTTACCACTCTTTCTTTTCATTTCTCCTGTAATACAGTATATATGCACTTTTTATTTTTCATTTTTAGAAGGAAACACAGGATAAGTTTAACAATATTTCTTTTTATGTAAAATGTGATAAATAAATAATGATTTAATTAAATTCCTCGGTATAAATAATAGTTTAATTAAATTTTAAATCTTTGATTGAGTTTTTATTAATTTTGTTTTTTTGTTTATTTGAGTATTAAAAAAATTTATATTTTTTAATTAAATGTTGATTTTTTGTCATTTGATTTTTTTTTGTTAATTTCATGGCATAAACATGATTTTTGTCATGTTTGTTGCATAATTTGGAGGAGTTGCAGTAATGAAGAACCTGGGCACTTGAAGAGTGCAATCTGAACAGAGTGCTTGCATAGTGTACTAATGGGTTTGTCGGAATTGTGGTGGGAACTCAATACTCCCTCCCCATGACCAAATTGCCCGCAGTAAATTTTTACCAACAACATTAACCTACTTTCATTAATTAGTGCTCTCACCTCCTTTATAACAAATGCATCCCCACACACAAGTAAATTGTGCACACGAAAATCATTCATGCCTTTCTTCTTCTCCCTCGCGAGCTAGATTGTCGTGGTGGGCTGTGCTGGAACGTTGGCCAGCAAGGAACCGCGATGGTGGGTTGTGCTGGAACGTTTAAGGTGGTGGTGGTTATCGGAGCAGCAGGAGGATCAGGTGCTTGATGTCAATCTTTCAACGGATGTGATGATCTGTCCACGAATATCAACATCCGTTGAAGGATTGCATAACTTTAGGTGTTTTAAGTGTTTTTTTGGCACGAAGTTATGCAATCCTTCAACGGATGTGATGATCCGTCGACGGATATCAACATCCGTTGAAGGATTGCATAAGTTCTCTTAGTTGTTTTTATATTTTAGTATTATTGATTTTGTATTTTATTTGTTGTGTTATTTTTTAATTTGTATGCGGTGGTGCTAACGTTGCAAGTGGGGCTGGCACGATGTCAATCATTCAATCATTCAACGGATGTGATGACCCGTCGACGGATATCATCATCCGCTGAAGGGGTAACGGATGTCAACATCATTCAGGGGCTTCAAATGCGTCCTCCTGAACATCACCCTCATAGGCCTCCTCCTGAACATCATCCTCATAGGCCTGATATGCCTCCTCCTCAACCGCTCGATCCTCAGCAATAGGGTCATCATGAATAGGAGCTGCACGCCTTCTTCGAGCCGAAGCTGTAGGTCGTCTCCTAGCTTCGCCCTGCGCAGAAATCTCCCCTCGAGAACTCTCTTTGTGAGAAGTATGACATGCACCGCGTGTTCTTACCATTTCTGATAAAAAATATTTTATTTAAATTAATAATTATTTCATTAAATTATAAATCATTATTTCATTAAATAAACTATTTAAATAAACCTATATTTAAATAAACCTATATTTAAATCATTATAAATTATAATAAAATTATTTTAAATTATAATAAACTAATAAACTAAAAACAAACTTAAATAAACCTATATTTAAATAATCAATTACATAAAACTAAATAAAACTAAAAACAAACTTAAAAATAAATACTTAAATACTAAATAAATAAATAAAAAAACCCGCCCACGGCCCTACGGATGTCCCACATCCGTTTCGCCTTCAACCTCAAACGGATGTGCGACATCCGTCGACGGATTTGGGAAATCCGTTTCAGTGCCAAACGGATGTGCGACATCCGTTCTGGCGCTCCGGTCATCCTCTCCACAGAAACGGAACAACAAAATACCAGAATAAGAAAACTAACCTCCAGCGGCTTTCTCCATCCACGAACGCACCGCCCACGAACCACTGCGTACCACCACCTCCACACCACCGCAACAGGAACACCCACACCACCGCACCACCAACGGCTCTCCGATGGCACCAAACAGATCTCACGAGAGAAGGATGTGGGAAGAGAGTGAGAGAAGGATGTGGGAAGAGAGGGAGACGGATGTGAGAAGAGAGTGAGAGACGAATATGAGGGAGAGAGTGAGACAGAGTGAGGGGGGGGGGTAGGGGGGGGGGGGGGGGGGGGGG